TAGTCTTAAAGGTGCCACAGGACTCTCTGTTGCTTTTAACAGACCAATATTTACATTAGCAATATGTTTCTTAAGGTGTTTAGCTGAAGCTGTATAAAGACAGTATAATAAATAACTCTATAGTAAAAAGAAATACATCAAGGGGTTTTAATACATCAAGGGGTTTTAATGACATTACAAATTACAGTTACTTATTTCCAGAATCCCAAAATGGAATTTTCTTTAGCGGCAGTGTTTCACTATATATATGAAACTGTTTCTATTCAATAAACTAATCCAGTCATATTGATATTGTCAGTATGTTATAGTTATAAAACAGTGTGATTGTAGGATGTCTTGTCAATGCTAATATGACTATACATCATGGTGGTGGTGGGTGTTTTCAGAAATCATATCACAGGAAAACAGCAGTATAGATCCACTGATGTAGTCATCACACAATAAATAATAATCTGCCTATTCTTTGCCTGCTCTAATTTCTCTGTCCTTCTGTAATCTTGTTATAATTTAACTCCGTCATTGCGTTCTTTAACTCTGCAAAGCATTTTGTAGTACAGTTTGTATAGGAAAAATCTCTATATAAAGCTATATGTATAGTATTTTCAATCTGACTTCCTTTCAAAAACTGAGATTGAAAAGCAGGGGACTGGTACTTTTAAAAACATTTGAATTGTTTTCTGATTGCAAATCTACTGCAATGCCACAATGGGCTCCACTCAAAGTTATACAAAGGAACTAGTCTTGATCTAGTCCTAATGTAGAATATATTGTTCCAAACCTCTCCTTTCTTCCCTGTTCGTCCAGCCTGGTCCACTCGTAGGATATGATCTGAAGCACATGGAAGCCAATGGAAGAATTCCAATTGACTTCAGTGGGCCTTGGATCGGGCCTTGGAACAGCAATGCCACGTATGTGAAACTGCTGCAATGGAATCATTAGTTCTCTCTCCTGGTTGGCGTAGGCATGTGATCAAGCAGAGTCAGGAATTTGGAAGTGAGCAGTCCTCTCCATTTTTCCTGTCCTGCATTTGTTTTTCCCTCAACTTCTCTTTACAACTGTAGTTTTATTTGGCATCATTACATAGTTTTTTGGGTGTTGCCTTAGTTGTCAGGTATCTTGTAAATGTCTTGTGTTTCTCCATGTCCTTAACAGGATGGATGATTGCAATCTTAATGCATGTATTTTTGTTCCGTTTAATTATATTACATTTTAAATAACTGATGTGCACCAACTTGGGCACAGAGAGGAGATTATATCTCCAGCTTTGTAGGCATCTAATAGTATACTAGCAGTTTTCCTTTTAAAATTTAATTTGGAAAGGATGGGTTAGCTGTTAGCTGACACTCCCTGCAACTGAAAATCTAAATCCCAGAAGAGTCAACTCAAACTTTCTTTCTTGTGAGGTATGAAATTTAAGTACTGAGCA